TTGTTGTTGTGGGGAAAATAGGAGGAAGAAGGAGTATTAGGTATGTTTGCTGCCTTGAGTTGTATATGAGGGGGAAAAAAAGGCTGAAATTGGGAAGAAGCAAAATTTATGCATTCCGTAAGACTAAATGCAATTTTTGATGTAAAAAAATGGTGTACCAATGCTATGCCTATCTTTTCAGATGTCAGCTACATTGAATTCAGTGTAAATTAATTGTGTCAGCGCTTGGCTGGCTTTATCAGCCTGGATTTGTGGTCAGATTAGGACCAGGTCTTATTAGTACAGGTAGTCCGCAGTTTAAAAATAAGTTCATTCCCAAGGTCTGTCCTTAAGTCAAATTTGTATGTAAGCCGGAACAGTATTGTATAATACCGTATAATTAGTATTATGTAATTAACTCGAATCATTGTGTATTTAACTCAAATTTTGCTACAATAGCCTCTGTTCTTAACTATGGGTTGCCCTTAAACTAGGCATTCTTAACCCGCAGACTACCTGTATACAGTTGGGAGCCCATGAGGGAATCCCAGGACTGGGAAACCAAACATCCAGAACAAGGCAATGACAAACCACTTCTGTATTACAGCCAAGAAAACAACATGGATGCGTTCATGAAGTCATAGAAGTCAAACTTTTACATCTGCGCCAGCAAATTATAATTAACCTTTACCATGAAAATAGGATTACAAATCAGACTTTGATTATGACTTATGTTCTGATTTCTAGGAAAAGAAAGCACAAACTGTAACTTGCTAATTTTGATTTAACAACAAACTACAATTTACTGCAAGTCAGGAAGAACCTTTAATCAGGTTGAAGGTTCTTAATAAGCTGAATAGCAAGTTGGGAGCAATGGGCTGACCATAGCGATCTCAGAAGCTGAACTCTTTTTTTTAATAAGAACTTTATTATATTATATTATATTAAAGAATACAATTAAAAACAAAAAAAGAATACAGTAAAGATAGAAAATAGAAATAAAAGAAATAAGTTGAAAACTAATAGTGAAGATAGTTAGAAAAATAAAACGGAAAGCAACTTCTATCTCCCATATAGATATAAATACAAATTAAAAGAAAGTTAATCTCTTACAACTAATTAATCCAAATTCACATTA